ACAATGTTACATTCGTTTCAGGTGTGTAAGGTAGTGATTTGACAAGTTTATACATTATGCTAGGCTGAACACAAGTGTAGCTATCATCTGTCATCCTACAAAGTATTACCATATCATTGACTGTATTCCTTATGCTGTGCCTTTTATTCCCGTGACTTACTCATTCCACAACTGGAAGTCTTATACCAGTTATACTTAAACTTTACTCTTGACTGCTATGTCTTCACCTCTTTGCCTCAGAATTGCTGTGGAGAGGCTCCTAACTCTCACACATGTGTGTTAACTGCTTTTTCATGTCTGGTCTTGGGCTGGATATTATTGGATTGATTAGGTACAGTTTCATGTAGTTTTTCAAGTTTTGTGCCAGAGCCATCCTAGACAACTGTTTATCCTGTGTAATCTCCTTTCAGCTCAGGCACTGATCCTTAGGCTGTTTCACTGTGAATAAGGGCAACAGACTACTTTGTTTACTTACACACTTGCAATAATAACTTGTAACATTTTCTGAGCACTTGCTACATACTCATCATTTTCTGAACATTTTACATGTATTTATTTTAATCTCATAACAATCTTATGAAGTAGGTGCTATTATTAACCCCATTTTACAAATTGGAAACCAAGGCACGGGGGTTGGGGGAGCTAATTAACTTGCCCAAATGGTACATAGTTTATAGCATTTTCAGGATGTGCACTTGGTCAGTCAGACCTTGGATTCCAGGCTCTCAGTTGTTAAATTCTGCCTGCTCATGAAAATTATTCATGACAGAATCAGGCTTTACTTAGAAATTATTCGTGATGCCCCTACCATACAGGGTAGGGTTGTATACTCAGAATTAGGTACCAATTAACCATATGCCAACCACTTGAAGTGTTAAAGGCCTTTATGACATAATTCTAATGTGGAAAAGGATAGCCACAACAAGCAATGGATTCTTGTCACTTCACTTGGGTCTAATAATGCATTTCATCATTTATTTCCACAACTGAAACAAGAAGCAGTTTAGAACACTGCTTCATCTCTACATATGAAAATTTCATACTGCCGAGGCAGGAAAATAACAGGCAACTTTTGGTATAAGCTAAGTCTCATGATTTAAAAAATGTATTACTGAAATTACTGTATTTCACTGGAAGAAATTCAGGTTTAATTTGTTCATCACTCCAGGTCTCCATTTATATCAGAAATAGTTAGAGGCCTGTTCGTTCGCAGCTTCTTCAGGTCCACTCATCCTGTCCACATATAACTAATCCAATCTAAGTAGAGTTTATAAGGAATGACACCTCCACCATTTACCAATAACCAAAAACTTTTATCTTTCATTGAAAAGACGAGCAGACTAATAAAATCCAGAAATGGAAGCTGCCAATGAGCTGAGGGCATTATACACAATGCTAGCTGTGAGAGATAACTTCTATCTTGCCTAGGTTTTATTGTTCCTGAAGGCTGTTCATTCCAGAATATGTATGATACTACTCAGTCTGTACTTGCTATCTACTTTTACTTGTATTCATTTGAAGTAGGTTTGTTCCTTGAAATCTAATGAGTCTTACTGTGTATGTCATCAGTATTGTGATTGATTACCTTTGGAAGTCTAGAGTTACACTGTCAAATATTGTAGCCATTGCCCATATGTTGTTATTTAAATTAGTTTTAATTTTTACTTTTAATTTAAAAGTTAATTTTAAGTTAAAAGTTAATTTCTTGGGCCTTATGTTTCCTTAGGGCACTTTTATCGTGTGTCTTATATGTCTTATGTATCTTAGTCTACTGAAAATTGGCACTGTTGGGGTGCCTGGGTGGCTCAGTCGTTAAGCGTCTGTCTGCCTTCGGCTCAGGTCATGATCCCAGGGTCCTGGGATCGAGCCCCACATCGGGCTCCCTGCTCAGCGGGGAGTCTGCTTCTCCCTCTTCCACTCCCCCTGCTTGTGTTCCCTCTCTCGCTGTGTCTCTCTCTGTCAAATAAATAAATAAAATCTTAAAAAGAAAAAAAAAGAAAATTGGCCTGTTTGTTTCTTCTGGAAGTGGCCGTATAGCTTAGTGACTAAGTTTGAATCCCAGCTTCTCCACTCACCAGTTGAGTGTATTTCCTCTCTGTGTTTCAGTGTCCTAAACTGTGAAATGATGACAATAGTCCCTCCTTCATTAGACTGTTATGGGAATAGTATGAGTTAATATATGTAAAGTGTTTATAACACCTACCACCTAACACCTAGGGGCTAAAAAACATCTTACAATGATGATGATGGATAACAGCATTGCTACCACTCTAGACTTCCATAGGTAATCAGTCACAATACTGATGACATACACAGTAAGACTCATTAGATTTCAAGGAACAAACCTACTTCAGATGAAAAAGTAGATGGCAAGTACAGACTGAGTAGTATCATACATATTCTGGAATGAACAGTGCCTCTGGCACTGAAACCATTTGCTGGGCATAGAGAAATGACCCCCAAATTCATATTGTCAGGTGTGACCTGGCTACAGAAGATTCTGATTTATTAGGTCTGGATGGAGACCAGGAATCTGGTTTTTCAAACCACCTCTCCTTTCCCCTCAATATCTGCAACCTGCCATGATTCTGATGCATAGCCAGTTTTGGAAACCACTAGCCCAGAGATTGGTTTCTAAGGGAACCAAGGTAAATATTAGCCCAAGAGGTAATACAGGGGTGACTTGTAAACGTTATGTGAAGTGAAAGAAGCCAGTCACAAGAGACCACATACTGTGATTCCATTTAAATGAAATGTCCAGAATAGAGAAATATAGAGAGACAGAAAATAGTGTAGTGGTTACCTGGGGCTAGGAGGGGGAGAGAATGATGAGTGACTGCTCATGGATATGGGATTTCTTTCTAGGGTGATGAAAATGGTCTAAGCTAAGACTGTGGGGATAATTTCACAACTGTAAATATACTATAAGTCATTGAACTCTACAGCTTAAATGAGTGAAATGTATGTTCATTATATTTCAATAAGGATATTTTTAAAAATAGTCAATAAGAAGTGAGAGAGGATAAATTTTTTTTTTTTTAAATGGGAGCAGGTAGTTGGGGAAACCAGGGAAAAGGGTGCAAACTGGTTGCTTGGAAGAGGCTTTTTTTTCCTTTATTTTATTCACAAACACAAACATAATAATTTAATTATCTGAAAGCCTTCTGGGAACTTCAACTGGAAAACCGCCTTGCAAAGGAAATATGTTTAAAAGAAAAGAAAAAAAAACCTTTGAGTTCAGAAAACACCAGGATTAAAGCCCTGGACAGGAATAATTCAAAGATAATGGTGCTAAAAACCAAAAACCAAAACAAAACAAAGATAATGGTCCTGGAGAAAATCCTCAAAATAAATCCAACTAAAATAGAGACCAAAGATTCATAGTAAAATACTCAAAAGGAATTTTTTGTAAAAATTCAAGCCAAATGTTATATTTGACAAATCTTAGGTTATAATTCCAACTCAGCTAATTCTTAGAATAAATAACCAATTGATGTTTTTTCCCTCTTGGAATAGACGTAGCATAGATTTGTAGGAAATTGTATGGGTTGTAAGAAAGCACAGTAAGACCTCCTTTACTTAATGTTTGACTTTCACAACAAATAAGTCAGTTTTGTAAAAATAATTAAGGACTTAATCATTTTTCTCTATGGCCTTTCTTAGTTGTTTAAGTCATTATGTGAAGCACCTGTTATCATTCCCGTGGTTTTTCTTTTTGGTTGTTAACTGGTCTGATTCCTCAGATTGTTACTTGTCATTGACTTTGCTTTTCATTGCAGCAATCTCCAATATCACCTTTAAAGGTTTCCTGGGAGCCTATTATTTGCAAGATGTGCAGTTTCTTTTCATAATTTGTTTGCACTGTGTTGTTGGATTATTTGTGAGAGCCTGATAAGAGCTGATGTTAACTGTTAATCAGGGAGGGATGAGTCAGGGGATTAATTTTATATAGGGACAATTCATTAATGGATATTTTTATATAATGACAGACAACTTTGTACCCCAGATAACAAATATTCATGTAAAATGGAGTACCTGTATTTATTGGATTGCTAATTTATTGGGGTGCTAACTCATACGCTGTTGACTCTTACTTAGTGTACAGTTTAAAAACCGAAATCATCTATTCGCAATGTAGTAGAAGTAGTAAGGTAGCTGATGTGGGGTAGGGGTGGAGATGGTGGTTAGGTGGCACTGCCTGGTATTGAGGGAAGGGAAATGATTTCCTACATAGTAATGCATACTATAATTCTGTTTTACTAGTGGGGAAACCTACGTCTAGAGAAGCTAAGTAATTTGCTCAAAATAATACCACTGTTAGCTCAGTTGGGTCTATCTTATTCCAAAGTCTGTATTCTTTTAAAATACTGTCTTTTGACAAGAAGTTTAGATATCTGGAAAAATCTGTCTCCTTACCAGCCAAAAATATATGTGATTTAAAATTTTATATAATTTAGTCAAAAGGCATTATAGAAAAATTGGTACTTGTATCAACTATTTATCAGACCTTAACAGTTGTAATAATAACTTACTTCATACTTGTTAGTTTACAAAAGCACTTTTACATCAGAAATTTCATGTAATTTATGTAACAGTCCTGTGAAGTAATCATTTTACTAGTAGACTTGGGCTTGAAGTCTAAAACGCAATTACATGAGGGCCCAGTTTTTTTGCTTCTAGATCTTATTATTTTTCCATTATGCTACACAGCTTCCTTGTAGAATAACACAAGCTCTACAAACATCCCTTTTGTAGCAATAAAATAACCTCAAAACATTACCCTTCGTGATATGTTAGACTGGTTTACTATATCATATTTAAATATATTTTATTAACATTTTAAAATTATGGTATGTTCAAACTATATACCTTAACATTAATTTCTATGGATTTGGTAGCAATGTCTGTCCTTTACTTCCTAACAGTTAATGATTTATTTTTAAGTGGATTGGTTTAAAATGGAAATCAGTATAATCTAATTTTTTTTTTAATCTAGTCTCTGTAGAAGCTGAAATCCATCAAACACCGTTCTTCAAAATGCAATGGAATGTACCAAGGTCTGTATTCCGACTGGCACATAGGACATGCATGGAACCACATAAAGCCAATCTTTTTGGACACTGTCAAAACCTAAAGGGACCATTACTTTTGTATAAAGCTGAATCCAGAGTAGTTTTGGTACAGGGCCCTCAAAAACAATGGCTACATTTATCTGCTGTCCAGTGTGTTGCAAAGGAAAGGAAGCCATTCACTGCTCATCCACCCCAACCAGGGGTCCTTCACCATAAAGAGTGGGAGCAAGATATTTTATCCAAGAGGATTATGTCATCCAATGTCACATCCCCTGGAACTCCTTCGGAAAAAAAGGAAGAACCCGATCCTTTACAAGACAAATCTATTAGTCTTTATCAACGATTTAAGAAAACATTTAGACAATATGGAAAAGTTTTGATACCAGTGCATCTAATAACTTCTGGTGTTTGGTTTGGAACATTTTATTATGCAGCCATAAAGTAAGTTTTTGCTTCATTGAGCACCTTTCCCTGCTTTATCAGAATGTTAATCTTCTTAATTGTACTAATCAAAGCTTTGAATAGTTTTTTAAATGCTTTAATGTCTATAACTGTTGAGTGTGACTGCTTTTCATAGCTGTTTTTGACATTTTCATAGCTAAATTCGCTTACCATGTATAGCAGGCATTATACGAAAATTTTAAACTGTATCATCTCATTTAATCCTCACAACTATATGAAGTAGGTAGTGTAATTATTCCCATTATATTAATGAGATTAAGGAAGAAAAGTCAAAATAACAGCTTTTTCCCAAATATTTTGGAGTCTTATTTCAAAGCCCCTGCTCTTTATGACTATGCTCATCTATCAACATTTAGCATGACACAGAAATAAAATAATAGATTTCGGAAATTTGGCAGCACTATTGAGTTCTATACTTATATATTTCTTAAAGTGTTCACAAATGTAAAAATATATCTGTTATTTTGCCATGTGTATGATTTTGGTGGGAAATTAGTGTGATGTTTTTGCCAAAGCCTGGCTAATATCTGTTACAGATACAAAAATGAACAAATTGCAGGCTTATGTTTTAGTGTTACCCACATCTGATATGTGTCAAGGTAAGGTCTTTTGTTCTGATCAGAAGTCAATTTTTTGTACATTTAAAAGATTGAGTGTAGATCTCATGATAGGTGTCCTTACCACAATTAAAATAAACTTCTAAATAAAGTTAATTTGGTGGCCCTAGCCTGCAGGTATTGTAAAACACAGATATCTAAATGCACCCTTTTTTGTTAAATACTCTTCCTTTCTTTTAAGGTAAGTTATATTATTTACAATGTTTTAGGAGCAGGGTACACATTGAAGCAGATCCCAATGATTTCCAGTTTCTTTCTGCCACTAGCAACTAAGGCATTCTGACGTGTGCCTATTCCTTTGAATGTGCTGTGTGGGCTTTTTTTTATATTAGCCTGGGCATGGCAGAGCTGAATGAGCTCACCATCCTGAAGGCAATGAAATGGCACAAGGGACCCCGCTTTGAGTTTTAGTAAACTCAATCCTTATGGGGCTAGAATTATTTTATTCTTTCCAGAAGTCCATCGATTTTCAGTGTTTGGTTATATTTAATGGCTCGATAGTAAGGTATTAATTAATAAGATATGTCAGTTTTGTATGTAAAGCTCACTCCTTGGGATAAAGGTTATTTTTTACTAAATTAAAAGATAATGAAATGAAGACTTACTCTTAGAAAACACAGGATTAGAAGTGTTTCTTTACAAAAGTTCTGAAAGGATGTTTTTACCTTGTGTAGTTGATGCTGTTCTGATTCTCTTCACATCTTTTTCTCCATTATCTTCCTAATATTCAATTATATCCTTCTTTGTTATGTATCATTATCCTTTAAGAATTGTCCTTTTCTTTATAGAAAATCCTTGTATGTACACTTTATGGAATTATCTTTTTCATTAATGACATTTTTCTGGACATGTATAATATTTATAGAGGTCTTCAAAACTGCCCTTAGTTTTTAATACAGCATAAAATCCTGTGCCATTTTGAATAAAAATTATTATTGGCCTTCAGCTCTAATTAATGGCTATCTATATGTCAAATGTTCTTTTTTGAGCTATTGAGGATTTTCTGATGGAATACTGTGAAAATGATATGACTGATAGTTCTGCCCTCCTTAGTTTGCCCTTTATAAGCATTTGGCCAGAAGGCCTTGGAGGGAGAAATCTAAGTTTTTCATTACTTTAATATGAAATTCTCATTTGGTCTGTTAAAAAGAGCACCTTTGTTCCTTTTACTTTCCCTTGCCTTCTTAAGTAAGAGTTCTGTAACTGAAAAAGCAGACCCCAAGTAACCTAGTGATATGAATTATACTTAAGATTTTTTCAGTCTGTCTGGCACCTAAGGCAGTTGTGGTGACATTCTGCCACCCCCTGTGGAATGCACCCTCATTTTATTCTTCCCCCTCTTTTTCTGGAGAATACTTGTGTGTAAACATGGTGGTAAGACTGTCCCCTTAATGCCACGTCCCTTTATCCATCACAATTTGCCTATTGGCTGTTTGTCAGCACGGAACTTTGGTTTCCACACCCATCACCCCTGCCCAGCCATGACCAATTTATATTATGTAGGATGTGTTGCTTCCCAGAAACAGTTCTTCTTAATGTTTTTATTAAATCCTATCCCTTCAGAAAGTTGATTTGTTCTAAGTAAAGATCTTATCACAAGTAATACTTACAGAGTAAGTAGGATTTGTTCTAATGGCAGTGTATCTTTCACTGCGATGTGGTCTTATTATCAAATTGGAGTTGATTGTATTAAATACAGGTTTTCAACTGAACTGGCAAGAGGCTAGCTTTATTTTATTTTGTTTTTAGCTGGGCAAAACTCTGTTATTTGTTACCTATTTAACTATTAAAAGAAAGAGAAAAAAATAGTTTGTAACTTGAAAGATGGGCTTTTGACATCACACTGCATTAGTGACCGGTGTTTGTTTTGGTCACTCTGACAACTAGCATTACTGCCTTTCTAGACATGATAGAACAGATCTCAGCTTTTGAAACATTTTATCTCAGGGAAGATCTGAATTGTACATGTTAATAGATTTTATTTTAAACTAAGCCTTGTTGCCCCTTCTATCTGGCAAAACCTTGCAGAGATCTTACATCTAACCAGAAGTGCTCTGTTTGATAATTGTAGCTTTGTGATGATGGTTCTGTTCCTACAGTTAGATTCTTGTGTTTTAGGCCTCAAGTTTCTAAAGTTACAGATCCATTCTGAGGCAAAATCCTACCTGATTTTTACTGCATTTTATCCTTACTGTGAGTGTGCTTTTGCCCTTGAGTATTTCTGCATCAGTTGAAACATCCATAAAGCTGGCAGTTTGAAAAGCACAGATTTCTGTCAGGCCATGGAAGCTTCAGAGTAAAAAGTGACAAGTGGATATTACTGTTGGAATCAGTCAATCAGTCCCTCACCAGTGTTTCATTTTTAGCAATTCCAAAGGAAATGAAAGTTATTTTTACTTTAAAATAAATCGGTATTTTAGAAATAAATAGAACCAGGGGCGCCTGGGTGGCTCAGTTGGCTAAGCGTCTGACTCTTGATTTCAGCTCAAGTCATGATCTCAGAGTTGTGAGATAGAGCCCCACGTGGGGCTCCATGCTCAGTGGGCAATCTGCCTGAGATTCTTTTCCTCTGCCCCTTCCCCCCAGCACACATTCACTCACTCTCTCTCTCAAATAAATAAATAAATCTTCAAAATAAAGAACTAGAACCAGTTGTTTGCTTCTTTATTTTATAAAAGATACTTGTGCAAGGTGTCTGAGGTAATTATTTGATCTTTATGATAGTTTTTTTTTTTTAAATCACTCAATTTTGTCTTATTTTTGGCCAAATGTTTGTCTTTTGTTTCCCCTTCATGACTGCTGTTAAATATGTAGATTTTACATACTGGGCTAGGATATGATTGATAAAATAATTTTATAGTTGTATTGGTTCTAGAAGATATAATTAGCATATCATGGTAAGATATTAATGGTGCAAAGTGACTTGATTAGATCCATAGAATAGCTAAGGCCTTGTAGTACTAAGTTTTGCTTTAATGGGATTCTGTTGTTATCTAAGAGACTTGAAAAGGAACTGATGGTGGAGAAAGAAGAAACCAGGTTGGATTTACAGTCAATTTTGTAATTTAACTTTTTAAAGATCCTTCAGTTATCTGCTTTCCTCTTGTGGATGATAGGTAATTTTCCTTGATGATGACCAGCCGTATGTTCTTGAGAGTAGTCCCTGATTTCAGAGTATTATAGTGGGACAACTTCCCCAATTAACCAAATATATTTTAATATTAAGAATAAATTAGTTTATAATGATGTAATGTATGGCGATTAACATAACAATAAAAAAATTTAAAGGAAAAAAAAATAAAAGTACCCTGGAGACCCTGTCCTAAGCAAGAGTCACCCATACACCAGCAGTGGGACAAACTGATGTCATGGGGCTTCTGTTGTGATGTACTGAGACAGAATTAACTGTACGGTTTTCCTGTTGAAAAATGTTTAACCTGAACCTGATCAGGAGGAAAAAAAAACAGACAAATCCAAACGGAGGGGTATTCTCCCAGGCTAACTGGTCTGGAAGCTTCAGAAATCTCAGTGTCAAAGACATCCTGCCCTCCTCAAAAAAGTTCTGAGGATCACTTCTAGAGGAAAGGAGACCAGAGAGAAATGACAAGATAGTGACAAGGGACATACTGGAACAATTCAGGAAATTTTAATATTAAATAATATATTGTGTATTAACTATACACTCTTGTGTATGTTAAATTTCCTGAATATGGCGGTGCCTGGGTGGCACCATCAGTTAAGCATCTGACTCTTGGTTTCAGCTGAGATTGTGATCTCAGGGTCATGAGATTGAGCCCCACATCAGGCTCCACACTTAGTACAGAATTACTTAAGACCTTTTCCCTCTCCCCCACATTCTTGCTCTCTCTCTCTCTCTCAATATAAATAAATAAATTTTTAAAAAAAATTCCTGAATATGATAGTTATGTTTATGTAGGAAAAGCACAGAACAAGAACCTTGTTCTGAATGAGGGGCAAAGTGTTACAATGTCTATAAAACAACACACAGAAAGGGAGAGAGCGAGAGAGAGCACATGCCAGTAAAGCTAAATGTTGATAATCATGGAAACTAAAATAAATTAGGGCTTAACAGCTCGTATTAGAGACTTTCTGCCTTCTCTCCCTCCATCCAAAAATTTGTTGTAATTTATGGTAATTGCTTCTTCACCTGCCTTCTAAGCCTGCTAATAGAATAGAGGCATCCATTTAGAATAATTGAAGTTTTCATCAAACCCATGGAATCATTTATTCTTTGCATAATAACACAATAAGTACTGTTATAATGTTGCTTTTACAACAATATAGTTTGACATGTAATTTTAGAGGTGAAAAGCTTAGGTCTTGAAATCTGAATTAGAGCATTCTGAAGAAGTAGTGTTTGGTTGGGGAAACAAAGACCAAGTAAATGATTCTGATCGTTCCTTCTCTCTTAAGTCATTTAAAGCTATTAATTTTACTCTGCTAGATCCTTCTATTTTTTAAAATATGGTAATTAGGGATGTATGTCCATGTGGAGAAGCAAAGCAGAAGCTGCAAACAGTAAGATACAGTATAACACTAATGTTTCTGTTCTTCTAGAGTTAAATCACAGTTCTTGACAATGCATAAGTGATTTTTAAACAAAATTTGGTTTTGGTGTTTTCAGAAAAATTTTGAAAATATTTACCCCTTAAAGTTTGTGTGTATACATACATAAATGTGTGTGTATATATATGTTACTTTGTTCCTTAGAGGAGTGACATATATATATATAAATCATTTTGTTTCTCTCCTAGAGGTGTGAATGTCATTCCTTTTCTAGAACTCATTGGGTTACCAGACAGCATAGTAAACATTCTGAAAAATTCCCAGAGTGGAAATGCACTAACAGCATATGCCTTGTTTAAGGTAAGTACTGTTATAAATGAGTTGCTCTTCACACTTAACCAATAACTTCAGTTCCTCATAAAACTCCATGTTAGTTCCCAGTAGTTATTTTTTGTAACTTAAAATACCATATACAATACCATAGTCTAATGGCTAAAGTTTATATTTTTTTAAGTTTAAATTTTAAGTATAAATAAAATGATGGTTTAGGAAGAAGTGACTTGAAAATAGGTAGATCATTCCTAACCTGCTGTGATCAGACAAATGTGAGACTTTCCGAATTTCCGGAAGTCATCTTTTTGACATTTCTCCCACTTACGGTATATTAATTTTCCTTTTTCAGAGATCCATGTGCCACCTGACTTGTTGGTTATATTTAGCATTTAGTTTACTGTTTATAATAGTTCATCTACTTGATAAGTAAAATAGTAAGGTTTAGTTCAGATTGTTTTATGGGATAAACCTTAGACTTAGTAGCTGTTACATACATTTCATTTTAGAAGTTTGCCATCTGTAGCTGTTCTGTGGAGTTGAGACACCAACATCTTTATAAGCTGAGTTTCTACGTCTATGGGTCTTTCTTTTGGAAGAGGAGCCTCTGTAAATTGTGGAATTTAGCCATATTAATCTTATTTTTCTCGGTTGACAAATAATTATGAAGTTCTATATCTTTATCCTAAGAAAGAAAACAGGTAGAAAACGTTCAGAAACTAGATTTTATTTTATTTTGCTTCTGTTGTAATAAAAACACTTAGAAGTATGGTTTTATAGTAGTACAGGTCATGTTTTATGCTGACATCCTCATTAGAATCCTCTGAGATCTTGGGAGATTTCCTTTTTTATTATGATTTTGACTAGAGGGCTAAAGCTTAATTGCTGAGTTTTTAAAACATTAAAACTTAATAAACTCATAAATTACCAAGTTTCTAGTTATAGTGGGTGTAATTTACCTTAATAAGTCAAAGTATCATGATGATTTAAGCCATTTCCCTAATTATAATTGCTCCTTATCCTATGCTCCCATAACGTGTATGTAGCTCTTACAGTTCATATCATGGTCTGGTGTTAGTTTTGTGGGGCTTTTTTGTTTTTTGTTTTAAAGATTTTTATTTGTCGATGAGAGAGAGAGAGCACGTGAGAGGGGGGAGGGTCAGAGGGAGAAGCAGACTCCCCGCTGAACAGGGAGCCCGATGCGGGACTCGATCCGGGGACTCCAGGATCATGACCTGAGCCGAAGGCAGTGGCTTAACCAACTGAGCCACCCAGGCACCCGCTTTTTTGTTTTTTTAATATTTGGTTTCTTTATTTGATTTTAAGTGTTTAGGAATTCAAAGTCATGTCTTCTTTCTCTGTGTTTTCACTATGCCTGATATTGTGCTTTGTAGGCACATCGATGCTCAGTGCATGTTTGTTGGGTGGGAATTGAAACATGAACCTGTACACGTAGGTAGGTTAGTGTCAGCAGTGTTCTTCCCGCTCACTGTTCCTCTGTGAGGTGGGGAATGTGCAAGGATTCTCCTGGGTATTTTCTGTAACCCATAGTTTCTCAGGTGGAGCAAAAAACATTGAGATTTATTGCTTCAATATGGCAAAGCCTCAAAAAAGAGGTGTGGCCAAGAGGAGAAAAACCACCTGAGTGTGACCTTGTGACACAGAGTAGGACACACTCCTCAGCCCCCTAGCACTGTCCTGGAAGTGAACCTTCATTTGAATTGACAAAAATTTGTTGAGCTCCTACTCTGCCAAGTGCCATTTTAGGTACTGGGAATACTGTAATTAAATAAAATGGTACAAAATACATGCCCTCGTGGAACTTATATTCTAGTGGTGGGAGCCATTTAGGTAAAGAACGTAAAGTTAAAACACACACACACACACACATACACAGACACACACACATACACACATACATACACACATACACACACACACACACTATGGTGTTTAGATGATGTTAAGTGCTAAGAAGAAAGAACAAACCAGCAAGGGAGGATGTGTTTGTGTTGGAGTGGTTTTTTTAGTATTTGGTTTTGTTTTGTTTTTTTTAGAGGGAGCGTTGCCAGAAGGTGAGGGAATTAATAGACAGTTGTATGGGAGAAGAGCATTCAAGGAGGGGAAATGCAAGTGCAAGGTCCTGAGGCTACAGGATACCTGGAGTATTGGAGGGAACAGGGAGGATGCCATTGTGGTTGGGATGAGTGAACCGCAGAGAGGCAACAGAGCGGCCAGATCAGGGTGGCCTTACGGGCCATTATGAGCCCTTTGGCTTTTACTCAGAGGAGATGGAAAGCCATTGGGCAGTTTTGAGTATCTGACTTGTGTTTTAACAAAATCATTTTGGCTGCTCTGTTGAGAACAGTCTATTATATATAGCTGGGCAAGGTAAGAAGCCCAGAGACCTATCAGGAGGGGTTATTACAATGGTGTGGGTAAGAGCTGGTAGTGGCCAGGACCCAGGTGGTAGCAGGAGAGCCCATAACATGTAGGTGATTCTGGATGTGTTTTGAAGATGGAGCTGATGGAATTTTTTAATGGGTTGAATGTAAATTATGCAAGAGAAAGGAGTCGAAGCTATCGTGTAGGTTTTTGGCTCGAGCAACTTAAAGAGTTGCAAGGCACCTGGGTAGCTTAGGCGGTTGAGCCTCCAGCTCTCAGTTTCAGCTTAGGTCATGATCTCGGCTCATGAGATCAAGCCCCACATCAGGCTCTGCTCCCTGGTGGCTCAGTCCATTAAGTGTCTGACTCCTGATTGCAGCTCAGGTCATGATCTCAGGCTCATGAGATCAGGCCCCACATAGAGCTCCCCGTTCAGCAGGGAGTCTGCTTGGGATTCTCTCTCTCCTTCTCCCCCCACGCTCTAATAAATAAATAAAAGAATAGCGTTGCCATTTCCTGAGATGCAGACAGCTTTGAGAGGAGCAGGTTTGGGGTGGGACCATTGAACATCATGAGATCAGTTTTGAACAAATGACATTTTGAGATCCTATTAGACATGCAGGTGGAAATAAGGCAGAGGTTGTATATACTGGAATTTAGGGAAAAGGCTCAGTCTGGAAATCTAAGAATCATTAATGTACCGATGGCACTACAGACTTGAAATTGGATAAGACTACCAAGGGAAGGAGGTAGGAGGCAGCTGAATGCTGCCCCACAGTGTTCAGAGGTAGACAACAGGAAGAAGAATGGGCAGGAAGGACTGTAAAGGGGCAGCCTCCAAAGTGGAAGGAAACCAGGGAAGTGGGGGCATGGCAGCCAGGGCAGGACATGCTCCAAGGAGTAGAGGGGAAAGCTGTCTCCATAGTTCTGATGGTTCACAGGCCTCTTCAGTGACTGTGATGAGAGGTGGGGGTGAAGGCTTAGAGTAAATTCAAGAGAAAATGAAGAGGGAAGTTGGAGATGGAGACCATAGGCGGCTCTTTCAAAGAGTTTTTGTACTGAATTTTAACACAGAAGCTATCAGAATGTGATACAGTTGCTATCCGCTTTTGTGTGGCTCCTTGACCAGTTCGTCTAGTATTCAGCTTTGGTCCTTAAATCTCTGGTCCAAGTTAAGCCTGTGCATGCCTGCCTGGATTTTTTTGGCCTCATGGAAGTTCCCAGTTGGGATTCCAGACCCAGGGTGGATTGTAACAAGAAGGTAGCATAAGGCCTGGAAAAGTCAAAGGGATTTGGAAGTGAAACTAAACTAAATTCAGTAAAGAGTAAACACTTGGCCCATGTTTACCTCTCACCATTTGAAGTAGTTTGGTTCTGGTTTAGTTCTAGATACACAGTGTCCACAGGTTAGCAGGGTTTTAGGGAATAGAAGCATGTGCGTGTTTGTTGTTGGTCCTGAGCCATCTTTCTCATCTCCCAGGGTGCCTGTCTGCAGGTTCCCTAGCACATGGTTACAGCGTCCAGCGCTTTTACTGCGAATATTCTGTAATCCATGGGTCAGTGTCTAAGTGACAGATATTTGTAAAATGCGTTTACAGAAGAAGATCCCTTGCTAGGAGGGAAGACCATAGAGGCCTTAACTACATTAGCTTGGTGAAGCAAATTTATACCATTGGGTTATTACTAAAAATTTTAATTTCAGATTGTTTTTTGCTTAAGATGATAGTCATGATCAGCTGTTGATCTGCCTGTGTTTGCTTTTCTCCTCAGATTGCAACACCTGCCCGATATACTGTGACTTTGGGAGGAACCTCCTTCACTGTGAAGTACTTGCGTAGTCGGGGCTACATGTCGACACCGCCTCCTGTTAAGGAATATCTACAAGACAGGATGGAAGAGACCAAGGAGCTCCTCACAGAGAAAATGGAAGAAACAAAGGATAGACTCACTGAAAAATTACAAGAAACCAAAGAAAAAGTTTCTTTTAAGAAAAAAGTGGAATAGGGTGCCTTCTATAACAGGTGATAGACAATTTCTGCACTTTAACCCTTTAGAAACTATGGACAAAGATACATGATCCTGATTATTTTTTTTGGTTGGTTGCCTAAATATACCAGTTCTCTGAGGGTTAAAGACCTAAGATACCTTTTTAAAGTTAAATATTACTAGAAAAATCAGTGTTTTTTGAAAAGAAAAAAATGAACCCAGGATAAGAATTTAACATCAATAGCAGCATTAAGCAGTGGTTAGTGTCGCGTAAGTCAGAGCTCTTTTTTCGGGGTCTTCAGAATCATACTTGCTTTATGTTTTGTTGCAGCTATAATTTATGCAGATGAAGCAGTTGACTCCTTGGATAACTGATGTGGCCCTAGACAGGGTGTTAACACTGGGTTTTCATCTTTATGTTATTCATTGAGCTTTTAACTATATTCATCTCTTAATGTGGAAACCAATATTACCGTCAAAACTGCCAGTGAATAAGAGGATACTTAGTGTTTCTGTAAAAACAGTATATAACAGTCATATACCAGTTAAAATACACATTTTATATGAAGGAATGCGAATAAAAATGGAGTCTTGTATATGTAAGTAAGATGTATTGGTTACATGTAAATGAAAAATTGACCCTTTAAAAATGATTTTTACCTGAAGCTTGTCAGTTTTTTTAAAGCAAATATATATGGTTATGGTACTTTTTCACCTAAAACATAAATCTCTACTTTGAATCATTTGTGTTCTCTTCAACTGTATTTCAGAGGAAAAGTGAAAATAATATGATACCTTAAGTTTATTGTTGAAATCAAATATTCTTAAGCCATGACTCAGGTTTGTGGTTCTTGAACAGATACAGGTGTGGGAGGATGGAAAGTGCCATCAAGTTGTTCCAGAGCTGACTCCCCCCCCGCCGCCCTGCCACGTGGCAGGTTTGTCTCCACAGGCCAACACTCTCAGTGTCTGTTTCAGAGTTAATGTTGATTTCATTGTGCAGTAAATTTTTAAATTGTAGCTGCTTTTTCCCTTAGACTGAAATAGAGCTTTTCCCTTATATTGAAATATGCTTGAGCCTTTTACTTGAAATTTTTTTAATAGCAAAGCTATCATTAAATTATCTGCTTGGAATGAAATTCAGCCATTGTCAGATATGAGAGTTGCCATGATTGTGTGAGTGTGTTTGAGGATGTTTGTGTCTCTTTTGCTCTAACTGCTTTTACTTCAGTTCTAACTCTTGAGTTGATATTCAGAAGACAGGATGGCCTCTTTCTAGACCTTTCATTGTTTTGAGCGATGTGATAAGGCAAGAGAATGTCAGAGGGACTTCCAGAAGCAATCCTGTGGGGATTGCTGTTGGGCAATCCCCACTGCTGTTGGGCAGGACTTTTGTATTAAATATTTAGTTTGGCCAAATTTGGGGAATAATTTAAAGGAAAAAATGTTTGCATTTGATACATCTAATCATTATATTGGAACATTTGGTAAGTTAATATGCTGTGATTGGAATCTCTAACTTTTTCGGATGAGGTCAGGGCAGAGCAGTGATGGGGCCCACTGTGGTTCTGCCACACACACTCATGATCAGGCAGAATGGTTTGGTCTCCTGACACACAATTGAACGCATAATTTCAGATTGACAGCACATTTCAAATCTAAACACCGTTTCCGTGTTTTAGTTTGCTTACTAAATCACATTTTTGCAGATTATTAAATGCTAAGATACTAACAAATTTCTTGTTTCTTTTCTTTTTTTTTGACACTTGAGACTATGCCTGTGTTTTAGCATCTTATATGAAACTCTTCTAAAACAATTTACTTTTCATATTACACAGGGCATATTTTCCAGTAGGGATAAAATTTGGTTTCTTAGAAGTCACTAATAATCCTAAAACTAAAATTTACTTTTTCTGACTATCCACCATTTGAGTTTTGTTGCCATCCAGTTTTGTTATTCTGTTTATCCAGTTATAGAAAGTGAGATGCTGATGAGTGCTTTGAAATTCTCTAGTAAAATGTTCTCTGAAGAGGTGAGTGCTTTTGTCATTATTTGGCATCAGGAATATCTGTATCTTATCAAATGCTGTTGCTAGCATATTGCTAACCTAGTCTTTAAGGCAAACTACAAATGGCTTAAAAGGGGACACCTGTAATATGTTGTTTGAAATATTAATAGCAGGCTAACAGAATATAGTAATGTGTATTAAGTTAAATAAATTACCGATATATATATAGATAGATCTATCTATATAAATATCACAGTGATATATATATATCACAGTAAATACATATAGTTTGCTATATATAGTAAACTCCATTTCATTTACAGTCAACCTTATACTTTGGATTAATTTGCCCCTACCTTCTCTGAGCAGTGAGTCAGAGCAGTGTCCCAAGTCCGATATGCATATCTGTCTTTAAATAGGATGTGTTGATAGGGTAAAGAGAGAGCTATGACCGAGATTTAACTTACATAAAGTGATGAAAAGGGTTTGCTCAGCAAATTCACAATTGAAATGAAAAATAGATTAGGCAAGAGACTTAGTTTATTCAGGAATAATAGCAAAACCAGCCTTTTAATGTACCAAAAACAATCTTTTACTGAATCTTTTGCATACAGCAGGGTGCTGTTTAGATTTCAACAAAGGAGAAAAAGAATGGGTATATTGAGATTCCCTTTCCCCCAGTATTGAACATAATAAAATTATGCCTTCAAATGTAATCTTCTATTTATTTTTTTTGTTACAAAATATACCCCCATTTATTTACAAATGAAAGATACCACTGTAGTCCTCATACCCCAGGGTGAAGTGGAGCTATTGATTGTCCTACTTTAGTGATCTTAGACGGTAATTCCAGGAATTTGAAAGATCTTAATAGTTTGGGCAGAATGTGTTGGGCGAAAAGCATATCTAGCTTTACCCTGTGTTCTTTCCACTGGGTTCAGGTCAAGTCTCAGGATTTCTTTTAAACATTTTAAACAAGGTCTGTGTGTGGTGGAATATGGTGATGGTAATGAAATGGACAGAAGGTGATTTTAACAAATGAAGCAGGAAAAGTGAGTGCATCTTTCCTGATATTTTTGAAATACCATTTTTGTAAATTGTATTTGTGACATATACATTTCTCTTTTAAGATTTATTTATTTGAGAGAAAGAGAGAGGGCAGGAAGGAGGGGCAGAGGGAGAGGGAGAGAGAATCTCAAGGAGACTCCCCGCTGAATGCGGAGCCTGACTCAGGGCTTGATCTCAGGACACTGAGATCATGACCTGAGCCGAAACCAAGAGTTGGGTGCTCAACTGACTACGCCATCCAGGCGCCCTGTGATATGTTTCTGAAAAATACTTTTTTCATGGTAATGTAGACACATATATCTTCTGTTGGCTACAATTCATTTTTTGAAATGGGTATCTTCATTTATTTGAAATTTTCCAAAATTGGGCCTTATAAGGCCTAAATTAAAACAGGTTAAATGTTACCAAAGTTGAAGTTTTTTCCGTATTAAATGCTAACTGCGCAATTGACTATCTGTGCCATAGCCTAAAATCAGCATCAGATCATATTGGCCTAGAGCTGAATTAGCACAGGAGCATTCAAATAGGAGAGTATGAGCCTCTCTGCTGCCTTGGAATTGAACAACCTCAACCAGAAATCTATAGAACTAAAGGTGGGTACTTTTAATTATTCACTCTGCAAATAGGACCTTTGTCTAGTCTCTGTTGTCCATCTCTATGTCATGTGGTATCAAGTTAGCATTAAATGGGATTCCATAAGATGCTGTCCCGTGTACCTGAAGGTACAGCAGACTCCAGATTTCATTCTCCCTTAGATCCTTGAATGACCTAGGGTCCCAGTCCTTTCCAGAACCCATCTTCAGCCATGAATTTTGGCCTAGACTTCTGATTCTTGAAAGATCCTGCAGTTTGAGCTTCTAACTTATATTTGAGAAAAGCTGATTCAGGCCAATTGGATATATTTTTCCCCCTCTGTGAGATTTTTCTTTTGTGACTTCTGTGTCACATTGGTTCATTTTAACTAGTCAAAACAAGTTTTTGATTGTCTTGCTTCTTCAGGGTTAGGCTTTGAAAATCAAGCTGTATTCTTCCCTGTGCATCATTGACAATCACCAACAATAATAATTACAGATCATAATTATCTTGTGGCAATTATCTGGCTATTTTCATAAGCATGATCTTAGTAGGAAGAATGCATCTTGATTTTGGAAACCTTCAGGGCAGAGTATAATGTTTAGCCTGTTCTTTATTCTGATGACTTGATCGGACAACAGGCAGCCGGAGACATTCTCAGAGCATGTAGTTTCTGTTCACAGATGGGATGCTCACAAAAAGTAATACGAAAGAACACTTTTCACATTGAGTTTTCTCTGGGACAACATGGTCTCTGAGGGCAGAAGCCTCAGGACAGTTAAAAGATGTTCCACATGCTGCCAAAGTATATCCTCATTCTTCCTGAAAGTGCAGATGGCATAGAACCTTTCTTCTTTCATTCCCTCTCCCTCCCTCTGTCCAGCATTTTTTGTTGTTGTTGTTTTGAATTTTGATCAGTTTAGAAGTTAGAAAACTTGTGAGAAAGGAAACGGAGTGTGCACACGAGCTTGCCTGCTTCTCTGTGTGGTACAGACCAGTTCTCCCTATCTGCCTCTAGTGGGCAGGTCCACATGGCCCAGCTTCAGAAAGAGTGGGACGGTAAACTCGCAGTTCCCTGACTTTTTAATCAAATACATGGTCGAAAACCTTTTACTCTATTTTGGTAACTCCATAAATGTTATTCTGAGCGTATGACATATGAAATCATGGCAAATCTGTATCTTCCCTTTTACCAGTTAGATGTTTTAGTGCCTGAAAACTAGAACATATAGTGTTTTCTCCATATACACAAATATTTCAGTTGTAATTACCTTTTAGGAACCTCTAAGTACTAGATTTAAGATTCTGTAATGATTGAAGCACATTTTGCTTAATTTGTGTTTTAATGAATCTGAGTCAATATTTTCTTTGGACACTTAATATGGTGACTTAATTGTCACCATTGCTTTACTTCTCTTAAGAACAGTGGCTGCTTTCGTTCCCCTTATGCTAAGCGTGCTAAACGCGTATTTGAAGTCCTCAAATACAGATGGCTTTGCCTGCCCTTCAGCTACCTCTGGAGATGGAATTGTAGGGCTTGGTTACCATGGTACTCCACCAACTGGAAACTTTTTATTCTCCTATTAAAGAGGATGCAGGATATGATGGGTCATAATTCACATTATTACTTCTTTTGGTTCAGAAATAAGGGACAAGTCTCAGTGGTTTCCCCAAAAAGTTGGAAATACCATCAAACACTTTTGTCCACAAAATCTAATGCAACTTTTGTTGAGGAATCTAGACCATTTAGTAACTGCATTATTTTAGAAGCATTTTAGATTAATAGGAGTTTTGAGTCATATACCCCAGGCTTGCAGAGAATTTATATAGAATTTTGCCTTTAGTGGATCATTTTAGAACTGAAACCACTATTTTTAGTTGAAGAAAGGCACAGGAGAGCTGGGTCTGGAATCAGATCCCAACTTCCAGTCTATTTGATTTATCCTCTTGTGCCAGGCATGAAAATAAAGTAAGTCCCAGCTTTGGGTCTTGAAATTCTTTATATTTTTGGAG